ATATCAATGTTTTTCAACCTTTTTTTAAATGTCAAGGCACCCTTTTAAGAAATAAAAAGCTTCGCGTTACCCCAATCCCAAATAAATCACAAAAGATTCACTTGGTATCACTATGGCACTCGTCGTTTGCCATGTAAACATGTACGGGCAATATTTATTCTTAATTAAGTCACATATATATTTACAGTTTATTATTTATCAGACATCATAAGATTGAGGGAACATTATGCACTAATATGTTATAAATGTTCTCAATAATCCAGGAAGTATATTGATAACATTACATTTTATAAACAAGTATACTGAACTGACCATGTATTAGCTTGCGACGAATCACATTCACTCCAGGACGCTTGTTCGTAACATGTAATGTTATTCAAAGTTTGGACGTTTCCGTGCTGTGATGTTTTATTGGGAGAAAAGAAAACAACTGTAAAATCTAAACCAAATTATATTACTCAAAGTTATACAATTTGTCAAAGAGATTTGTTATGATCTCGATACAAGCTGACATTTGTGTGTGTATCAGAAATGAACTAGTTAATAAAGACAAAAGGTAGATAACAACAACAAGAAATATTTTATATAACAATTCTACTACTTGGTTCAGAGGGAGATTTTAATTCCCATTATGAATCGAGTGGTAGCAATTGCATATTGATATCCATGATTCCACATTGATGCAGGCTTGAACCAGTGTCAATAAGATAAAGGTGTCGCGATCGATTGGTTTAGAAGCTCTACAGCTGGGGCCAAAAGTTTTTAGTTTCCTTTGATAAGACATTACAGTTACATATTCCAATCTCACCTTAAAATTGAAATTAAGTTATTTCAAATGCACTTTGCATTGATAATGTTTTCCTTTGGGTAATGGCTGACCGACTGGGGCGTAATGTTTTATCCTATCACGATCACCCTTTACTTCAGATTTAAGGTTAAGACGCGAAAGCCGCCCCTGAAAACTGGCCCTCAGTTGGTCCGATGTATAATTACCCTCATGGGTAAATATTTTGGTAAAGACTCTTTATTAATTAAGTAGTTTAAAGGCAATGCGGTATCATACAAAGGTCGAATATAATTGTTATTAAATATCCATCTGCAATATTGGTAGGAATGAAAATTAAAATTATGTTGGAATAAAGTGGCTAGTGATGGGGGAAGAATGCCGGATTTAAGCCGAAACATGAACACAGATTTTTGTATGTAGCGTATATCACTTATTTGTATAGTTTTTAACGTGGCAAATAAAGGGTCAGTATGGTCGCGATAACCTGCATCGGTACAAACTCGAAATGCTTTTTCTGTAACATTAATATACGATTAGGATTGCACTTATGAGTAGCCCATAATATTGCAGTAAGAAATATATGGTAAAACTAGCGTATTATATAGCATACTATTAGCACATACATGTGTTGGCACATAATATTTAGCTTAAATAGTATACCAATATTGCGAGAAATGGGTAGAGATATAGTTCACATGATCATCATCCAGTTACATTTTCCATTCATATATACACCTAAGAATTTCGTTGATGACTCTTTTTTTTCTATACCAAATTATATCACTCAGAGTTAAAGAGATTTGTTGTGATCTGGATGCAAGCTAACATTTTTGTGTGGATCAGCAAGGAACTAATTGATAAAGACAAGGTAAAAAATATATAAATATATATATTATCCTATTACCACTCTAGTACATGGTTACGAGGGGGATTTTAATTCTCATTATGAATCCACTGATAGCAATCGCATATTGCTTTTCATAATTCCACAATGATGCAGGCTTGAACCAGAGTTAATAAAATAAAGGTATCGTGATCGCGTGGTTTAGAAACTCTACAGCTGGGGTCAAATGTTTCTAGTTTCCTTTGATATTGACATTCCATTACATATTCCAATCTTGAAGTACATTGTGCATTGATAATGTTTTTCTTGGGTAATGCCTATGCCTGACCAATTTAGGGGCAAGCGCTTGTCCAACTTTGATAGCCATATGTATTTATCCTCTCACGATCACCTTTTACTTCAGATTTAAGGTTAAGACGCGAAAGCCGCCCCTGAAAACTGCCCCTCAGTTGGTTCGATGTATAATTACCCTCAGAGATAAACTTTTTGGTAAACACTTTTTGTAATTAAGTAGTTTAAAGGCAAAGCGGTATCATACAAAGGTCGAATATAATTGTTGTTATTGAATATCCATCTGCAATATGTAATCATTGTTAAAACGTGTTCATCCATCTTGTACTAAAGCGTTTAGTACACAGTGCTGTATTACAAAATGATTTATTGAACAGAAGCGGGGGAAATCCCATTTCTAGAGCATGTCACGCGATGGGCTGAGAGACGCTCCGACCTTTACATGTCAATGAAAAGACACCTTCCTTCGTTTGTTGTATTTCGACCCTACTGTGAATGAAAATATAGAAAATACAATTTACAAACTTTGTTGTCTCAGTATACCGTGAAGATATGATAAACTTAAATAAAACCCACTCTTTCGCTTTTATTTTTCTTTTTTAGCTTTTTTTTTTACACATAATTATTCTCTTTCTCTCTCTCTCTCTCTCTCTTGCCTTACTTCCTCTCCCAAGATTGCTTGCCTAGTTTCTCCTTTGACCTTATCTTCCAAATAATCTCTTTCACTTCCTTTATCTCTTTTTTTCTCCTTTTCAACATTAGTTTCCTTCTTTCTCTTTCATTCCCAACACATGTCTTTTAGCTAGGCACTTGCCATGCTCGCCACACTCGACCCATGTGAACTAAATGGGTACCTAGCAGGAATTGATTCCTTGAATGCTAAGCCGCCATAATGGCAGCCATGCTTAAGCCGGTATGAAAATAACAATAAAACATACCAACAACGTATATATACGGCAATGGGGGTAAAACAGTGGAGGGACCAACAAAGAGCAAAGGCAAGTCCCCGGAAAATATATTATACATAACGCCATCTCTCAGATCAGAGAATAAAGGATAGTGTAAACACACATAGACACCCACACACTTAAAAGCACACTCACATGCGTGCGAACATAAACACACACAAAGTAAGGGCACAATATGGATATTTCATCAATCGGTGTAAGACTTGATCACTTCAATCTTATATTTTTTGGTTTAATCTCTTAACGTGTGATTTGCAAATGAAATTGTGAGTATAAGGAAAACGTATAAAGGTATTGAATGCATGATGAGATAAACCTGATCTTTCTTGGCAATACAATAGAAAACCGTTGTGTGTGATTTGAGTGTATTTGTGTGCGTGTGTATATATAGCTGTGTTTCATGTGCGTGAATGTGTGTTGCGTGTGTTATTGCAAAGTTGCAACGCGGGAATTCCTAAATAGTATGGTGCCTCTATTAAATAGAGGTTTAGTAAACATGACCTAGTTTCTGGTATGGTTGGTTTTCCCCAATTTTATAAATACCCATTTGTCCCGGTTGTTTCTCAATGTAGGGAAAGAACATTTTGAAAACCTGCAGCACTATGTAATGATTAAGATCAAATTCGCATACACATTATAATATTTCTATTGATCCAGACTTTAACAGTGTTTATTGAAATTTGCCTCCATGCAGTGGCTTAGCTAAAGGCCCGGTCACACAGAGGGGACGCATGCGGGACGCACGGCCGGCGCATGGAAAATTTCCAATTTTGGCCAGTGCGTTGTCGTTCGCTAGGCGTGCGTCATCACTCGTTACTCGTTCGTCGAGCGCGCTGGACCAAGGCTGGACCAGCGCTATGCATTCGTCGTCATTCGCTGTGTGCGTCGGGATTTTTTGAGCATGCTCAAAAGTGTGCGCGGAGCTCGACGCATGAATGTACACGCCAAAGGCACGCCAGACGTGTGTTGAGCGCGCTAGACCAGCGCCAGATATACGCGGGGCACACGCCCTGTATACGCACAGCGCGCTAGCTACACGCTGTGCATTTTGTGTCAGCTCGCTAGCTTTTCCAAAATCATGACAAAAGTTTTCCAATGCGCTGGCCGTGCGTCGTAGAACGCGCTGCATGCGTGGACCATTCGTCCAGCGCGCTAGCAACACGCGGCTGTGCATTCGTGGAAGTTGTTATCATGTGCGCTCTGGGTACGGTCTGTATGCGTACTGTATGCGCCCTGTATGCGCTCAGCGCGCTAGCAACACCTTTGCATTTGGTGTCAAAAGTTGGGCGCACGACAACGCACTGGCCAAAATTGCAAATTTCCCATGCGCTGGCCGTGCGTTCCCCATGCGTCCTCCCTGTGTGACCGGGCCTTAATGTAAAGAGCATTGTAATAACGATATACCTACATTCAACATAATCATCATGAATACCGAAATAAAGAGAGAAATAGCGAGAGAAATGGGAGAGGGGAATGTGCAAAGAAGAGAAGGAGGGAAGAGAGGAAGAGGGCGGGAAGGATATGAAAGGAGGACACAGGAGTATAATCAGACTGCTAGAAATAACCACGTTTTGGATGAAAGAGAGAACAAAATTTAGATTGCAGTTCAAATGGAGATAGAGTACATGTAATAGTTTTGATAATAATAACAACAATTCACAAATTTTGAATCTTTATTCAAAAGTTTCCTTTTGTTCTCTTGATAATATTTCAGCTACTAATTAAGAGTTTTGGTGGACATCTTGGATTTGAAATGGCAATAAATCCTGGCACATGTTGTGACAAATATATCTATTATAAAAAAGATAAAATGATTATTAAAAAAAATAAGGATAGTAGGTAAAAAAAAGTTTGAAATCAAATTATTTACACGTGATCAATGATCACCTTAACATTATTAAGCTAACTAATTATATACTAAACCTTTAACTCGGGCACATACCGGATAATGAACAAAGATTTTAATTTGTTATAAAAGATATACTGTTTTGTTATAATATGTATTACAATAATGGTAATCAAAAGTATAATTTCAATAGTGATGATAATAGTCGAAACAATATCAAATGTTATGATAATAACAATAATAAGGATAATAATAGTCACTTATATCCGTAGTAAACTGTGTGTAAAGTAATATCCCTTCTTGGTCCAAGCAGACAGATATAAACATGTTTGTATATTGGACATAAAAAAACCCACACAAATAGTCTACCCGTGAGACAAGACTGATAAAAGAAAGATTGAAAACACAAAATAATGGAACTGTAAGAAAAAAGTGAAACCTATTAGTCCATGTCTTATATATTTACTATGGTAGAAGTTTATCAAACACTATTGTATCAAAGAATAGAGCATGACCCTACCCATCCCCTTTTCTGGAAACGCTACTGATTCCTGTCATGCTTATGTATTTAATGTCTGGAAGGAATTAAGGAAAGAGATCATCAGCAAGACGCATTTGTCCAGATTGCTCCAAAGCAGTCTTCAAAGCTCCTCGCTCGGTAGAATTTGTTTGACGGTTTCGCCAATCACGGAGCATCTGAAGAGTGCCAACATATGTTACATTCTGGGTTTTGTTATTAGTTGCTATGTACCGATGAGTATCTTCCGGTGTAAATCCAAGCTGTTTTCCTAATGTGTCGATTTCTGAGTCCTTGTGGACTCTCTTTGCAACAGTTACCAACATATCGTCGAAGTCTTCGGTGGGCGGTAGAAGACCTGGCGTCAGGTGACCACTTTGTGCAGGAACAGAACTGCCTGGAAGTAATTGGGAAAAGATTGTGTAATACATGGAAGTGGTGTAAACTTTGACCCTTTGAAATCATAAAAAATTATGATAAATTTACCTATAATCTTGCTTAAAGTCATATGCAATCAAAAAAGATCCTTTTAAATTTTGATCTGAGTTCCTGTAATAGATTTGAATAGTGTGAAGCGTAAGACAAATCTCATATGTGAAATTATTATGACATGCATTTTTCTTGTTGTTTGGCAGACTGATTTTCGTATTAAGTCAAGAATGATGTTCTCCGTTGTACTGCTTTAAATAAACACATGTGCCAACAATTGTATTGCTCGTCTTTGGACATCCCTTAAATTGGCTAGCCTGGCGGTTTAGTTGCTTATTTTGTGATGAAAGCGCAACATTTGGCAAACAGGTACATCAACATATTCTAAGCATAGCTGTGTCGTCTGAAATTCGACCCCTGGAGACCGTGTGCCCATTGTCTTAAATGGCACTTCATATTTCCTTGTATATACTGCGTCCACAGTTAACATATTTTTTTAGTAACTTCCAGTTCATGAGATAATAATAATAATAGTGATTTTTTTGTTTACACAAGGTAGCCTTATCAGTAATTAAAAATGTACTTCCTGAGGGCCCTGCAATCTATTATTATGTGAAAATATTATCTTTTAGTTTGTGTGCCTCAAGAAAATGCAACAAAATCGTAGGTGCCCATTTTAAGTACTAAATTATGATCAGGTTTAATATGTAACTTGATAATGTGTAAAAGAAACTACTGTGAAGTGATCATGGAAATATTACTGAAGGTCAAGTCCACTCCAAAAATAACTCACTTTCAATACTGAGAAGCAGAACAATCAAACAAACCCATCAACAAAAAAATTGAACAAAATCGGATATCTAATAAGAAAGTTAGAATTTTTGAAAAAAGTCTGTAAAACTATGGAACAATGAAAATCACAAGACACATTGGAAATTCACTCATGAGTCTGTGACGTCATACTATCCACTAATTGTTTTCTTTATATTGATAATATAAATTTCCTATTTCCCCCCTAAGAATCGTATTTCTTCACACCAGCATCCAAGTTAGATTGATAGTACTATGTGTGGATGCATTAATATAGAGTAATTTTTTCAGTTAAATCATGAAAAATTGTGAATTTTAATAAACAATTTAGATAAAAATAAATAATTATGAATATACAATATTAAGAAAATAGTATCAATTCCTCAAAGTTCATAAAAGATTTTATGCAATGTCTTGGACGCAATATGATACAAATCATATAACCTGGGCAAAGGCATGGGGAAATCAAGTTTAGGGGGATAAAAAGAGAAATTAATAGGATTAGCTATATATAGCAATTGATAAATAGTGAGGACATGTCGTCACAAACTGATAACCAAATTGGCAATTTGTGTAGTGATTTCCATTGTTCTATAGTTTTACATACTTTTTCAAAAATTCATGACTTTCTTATTAGTTATCCGATTTTGCTCGCATTTTTTTTGATTGGTTTGTCTGATCGGTCTGCTTCTATTGAAAGTAAGTTATTTTTCAAGTGGACTTGTACTGACACTGATTAAATATGTGACACAAGTGCCGAATATAAAGAAGATGGCCCAAAATACACTGTAAATCACATTTTCAAATTTTACTATATTAA